TAAATTAGTCGAGCATTTGGTGCAACATCGGACTAATGACCGTATTAAGAGGTCGGCCTATATATATATATATATTTATTTATTTATTTATTTATTTAATTACTTGTTAATAGTATTTTTGAATGAGTCAAATTAAAAATAAATAAAATAAAAAAAAGCACAAATGTGTTTCTAAAATAAAAATTCACAAAAATAAAAACCAAAAGCAAAAGAAATCAGAGAAAGACGAACGGAAGAAGAAATGCTCAAAGATTTGGGATCCTTTTGAAACCCATACTAACACGGAGTGCTCAGAGATTTGGAAATTAAAATAAAAGAGAAATATTCTCGTAAATTATTGAGAATAACAGATCCATCAAATAGAAAAATTATAGACTGAAGGATACAAGACATGGAGGGAAAAAGAGAAAAATAAAAGAAAAAATCGAAAATTTCAGGAGGAGGAACATGATGAAGATGAAACGCATCAAATCCCACCCTCTTCCCACTAATTGCAAATGCGTGTTATGCAATCCAACAAGGGTTTTGAACTTCCCAAAAAATTGAAAGAAAACCAAAAAAGAGAACTGGGCAACGCATGGGGAAGATCTGAAATGAAAAGAGAGAGATAGGAGAGCAGGGTTAGCGACGATTGGCTTTGGAATGCTTGCCGGAATTTGCTCCGATTGTTGACATGGTTGGTCTAGTCAAAGGAAAGATTTTGGGTTCATGGAAGAAGAACGAACAACGAAGGAAGATAAACCGACTAATTATCCTTGCCTTTTGGGGTGTTTAGTTAGTAGGCGTGTACTGGATAAAACAAGTGGGTCTGGACTATTAGTCATGTGGCTATTTAATACAAAGGTGGGCCAAACATCGTACTATTTATTATATCTGATATTTTATACAACCTGCCAAACGAAACCTTAATCTCATTTGGGTATCGGACAAGTCACCGAAATCTCATTCAATAATTCTCGTTCTTTGGCATCCTCCTTTGTTCATGGGGTCAAAATGAATATGGATGATCTTGCTAAGGATAACTCGGGTCATGTGGCTTATGATGTGGGGCTTTTTTTTTTTTTTTTTTTGTTGAGATTTTGGAGTTTAATTTCTTTGTGGCTTCTCTAAGTTTAGGGTATCTCACTTCTTTCTGTGCAGAGTTTCATGCTATCATCTTGATATGGAGTTGACTCATACACGAAGATCGAAAAAAAAAATTATGGCTTGAAAGTAATTCTTACTGTGATCTCTAAATTTGCTTCCAGATCCCTTTATTTTTACCAACTATCCCCTAAACTTTTATACTTTGTAAAATCCCCCTATCTTTAGATTTTCAAAATTTTCATCCAACATCTTGTCTATCTTTGCATGCGTTGTCCAAGGGAGAGACTTCGGAGAAAAATGTTATTTTGTCCCTCACCCATTCCTTCAACAATTTCTACCTTTCTTCTTTTCCATCTAATTCTTAGTTGGGCACAAAATGACTTGCTCACTCTCAGAAGTTTCTCACGTGAACATATGTGACAAAAATAGATGGAATGTTGGATTGGAAAATTCAAACATCTAATTGTAACGGGAGATTGGGCTGATTATAAAAGTTTAGGCGGGTAATTGACTTAAATAAATGTGTAGAGGGAAAATTGGCAGTGTCTTACAAGTTGAGGAGACAAATTGACAAAATTTAATAACGAGTTAGATGATAATTACCATTTATAAATATTGAAAATATATAAATCAAAATTGAAAATGTTTTAATTAGCTAAAAAGAGTATGTGAACGATTTTCTTTTTGGATAAAATTTGTAGCCAATTTTCTAAAGAATTTGGTGGTGGCTAAGCTGACTACGTACTGTGAAGAATGGGCAATACTTGGGTCCAGTATCTCTTCTATTATGAACAATATGAAAAACCGCTTGTTGGAAAAGCTTCCAATTGACAGAATAAGGCGTGTTGTAATATTGGGGTCCTAAGTTCTAACCAGTCAAATTCAGAGATTTATATGCAAGCAATCTGAAGTTGAGACATGAGAATTTGCCCGGCGTTTAAGTTGTGGACTTCTAGAGGAAGAGGAGAGTACGAATTAATATGCAGCAAGGTGTGCATGGAAGTCATGGAACGGAAACAAAATCAAGCAGAAGCTTCCGAAAAAATACGAAAGCCAAAAGATAGAAAATCGTAGAGTGAAGGTCGCATTCTTTAATATGAGTTTTTTCTTTCCTTAATATGAGTTATTTTGTTTTTTGGTTAATGAAAGTATAGGGGGGCACCGACGACTATGGTGACTGCAGATTTGGGTTTCTAGAAAAGAAGGGAGGGAGCACGGGAGAGAGGCTATAAGATACGTTATTTGCAAGTGGCATAATGAGTATACCTCTTTAACGGGGAAATGCAATTATAATTCTTCCAAGAACAATATAAAAAAATTCCTAATTTTTTGGATGTGTTTTGAACTTATTCTAATAAAAGAATTTCAAGTTATTTGCTAAAATTATGTATTTCGTAATCAGCTTTTGTATTTTATAGTAAATTTGGTATGTACTTTATTCAGGGAGCTCTACTTAATTATAGTGACAAAAAAATAATCACAAAATACGTTTCATAGGATTCAACTAGTTTTGAATCATTTTAAGGAGAGACAAAAGCTTAATTTCCAACAAACCTAGCCCAAAAACAAGCAAACTAAAATTTTAAAATCCTAATCATGCCGCCAATGAACTTGTTACTTAACCAAACCAATATTACAATATCTATAAAAACTTCAAACTGATTTTAGATCCATAAAAATTAATTTCTATAAGATCAGTTTCACAATTCACGCACTTTTGCAAGATCAGTTTCAAATTTTTTTGCACTTCTGCAAAATCAGTTTCAAGATTCCTGCACTTTTGCAAGAGGGAGAAAGAGAGAGTTCAAAAGGAGGAGGATAGAAGTACCAAGAAAGAAAGAGAGAGAAAGAGATAAGGACATAGAAAGACATCTTCAAATATAGACAGGTAAAATTATAAATGCAAAGACAATTAAAAAAACAACCATTATATCATTTTTATATATAGGAGTGGTTCGGATCAGGATCTCAATCGGAAAATGTTAACCCGAATCTTGAAACGATCATTTTCGAGACGGGATTTCGAAAACCAAAACCGAATTGAAATTTCGATATTCCTAAATTTCGGGATTCCTGAAAATTTTTCGAGATTTCGTTACGGTTTGGGTATAATTTTCAATATATGAAACGACAACATCTTTGTGAGATCCCACATCGCCCAGGGGAGTGATCCTTATATGTATATTCCCATCTCTACCTAGCACGAGGCCTTTTGGGAGCTCACTGGCTTCGGGTTCCGTATGAACTCCGAAATTAAGCGAGAAGGGGGCTTGAGCAATCCCATGATGGGTGACCCACTGGGAAGTTGCTCGTGAGTTCTCAAAAACAAAACCGTGAGGGAATGGTAAGCCCAAAGCAGACAATATCATGCTACGGTGGTGGAGCGGGCCCGAGAAGTGGTACGCCTCGGGCCGGGATGTGACAATTTGGTATCAGAGCCTAACCCTGGTCGCGTGTGTGTCGACGAGGACATCGGGCCCCTAAGGGGGGTGGATTGTGAGATCCCACATCGCCCAAGGGAGTGATCCTTATATGTATATTCTCATCTCTACCTAGCACGAGGCCTTTTGGGAGCTCACTGGCTTCGGGTTCCTTAGGAACTCCAAAGTTAAGCGAGAAGGGGGCTTGAGCAATCCCATGATGGGTGACCCAGTGGGAAGTTGCTCGTGAGTTCCCAAAAACAAAACCGTGAGGGAATGGTAAGCCCAAAGCGGACAATATTGTGCTATGGTGGTGGAGCGGGCCCGGGAAGTGGTCCGCCCCGGGCCGGGATGTGACAATCTTGCTCAGAAATTCAACATCTAATTGCAGAAATCCAACATGCATGCTAAAAAAATCCAACCAATTCGAGTGCAGAAATCAAACATGCATTCTCAGAAATTCAAATTACTCAAATTGAGAAATCCAAACCCAAATTCAAAAACAAATAAAAAATAAAAAAAAATTCGAGATTTCAGTACGGTTCGGGTATAATTTTCAATATATGAAACGACAACATCATGCTCAGAAATTCAACATCTAATTGCAGAAATCCAACATGCATGCTCAAAAATCCAACCAAATCGATTGCAGAAATCAAACACGCATTCTCAGAAATTCAAATTACTCAAATTGAGAAATCCAAATCCAATTGCAGAAATTCAAAAACAAATAAAATAAAATAAAAATTAATCTGACCTGAAAGTTATGAAATGGAAATTGAAAATATTATTTCCGACCCGATGTGTCCAAATGTCAACTAATTTAAATGCCTTGTCGAAACAATAAACTAATTTAAATGTCAACTATATGATTTTGGTGTAGCAGTTATGGTTATGAATCCTTTTATGATTCACAAGCATGAATTAGCAAGTGCCCTTCACATAGTTTGCTGTCATTTCTCTAATATAGATGGGGTCTTTATATAAAGACAATTGCTCAATTCTTGTCAGTTTCTGCTTGTCAAACGTTTCAAAACTAAACATGTACTCTTTTTTACAAACACCTCTCATACTAATTAAGTAAAAAGTCTAAACATATGACTTACACAGTTTTGTTTAAAAAGTAGTTTTAGTAGAGCGATAGTGTTAGTACAGTTTTGTTTAAAAACGTATTTTTGGTAGAGCAATAGTGTTAGCGAATAAGACAGTTATAATTGTTAGGGGAGAGATGAATCAATGAGGACCAAACCAACACTAGTGCATAGACATGTAAATGTTTTCTGCCACATCTACTTGCTAGGAAGATAGGAATCAGCAAGCAAAAATGCACCCACAGGAAAAATATGGTTCCCAAATGGGACTTAACAACAACAACAAAGCCTTTTCCCACTAAATGGGACCTAAGATCCAATAAAAAAATATGGGACCAGAAACCCCCTTCAAACAAACCTTCATTATATATATATAAACTAAACCGACCGTGTCAAACCAAGTTTCATGGATACGACCTTCACAGGGTGCGGCTTTGTTTGGACTTGAAAGTCATTGCAGCATACATGATTTGAACATTTCATCCCCTTCTTCTTCTCTATTTATTTGAAGTATTTAAATTAACAAATTTTCTCTGTGCTTTCTTTCATCTCTTTCATTAATTCCTCCATTGATGCTGATCCATTTTTCCCCCAAGAAAACATAGAAATTATGGCTTCTGGAGGATCAGCATCCAGCCGTTCACTTCAAGACACACCCACCTGGGCTTTGGCAGCAGTTTGCTTTGTGTTCATATTTCTCTCTCTATTTATAGAGCACTTGATCCATCTCATTAGCAAAGTATGTACATATTACCCTTCGTAAGATATTACTATCAAATTTGTTGAAAAGAGTCATATGGTTTTTGAAAGTGGTTTCACTGATTTCAAAATTTCTTTAATTTGATCATATGTATTTTGGTGCAGTGGCTCAAAACTCACAGAAAGACAGCCTTGTTCGAGGCCGTAGAGAAGCTCAAATCAGGTAAGTTATTTCAGTTTGTTGGTATATTCATTGAAAAATGATCCAACTCGCCTATCCTAATTATTCTGACTATTCATTCAACGTCAGCAGTTTAATGCAGAATGTATGTTCTAGTTGATAATTTATAGAATTTGCTGAATCAAATTTTTATTTTTTTTGGTGCAGTGCTTATACTCCTGGGATTTATGTCACTAATTTTGACAGTATCACAAAGATCCATATCCAAAATATGCATACCCACAAAAGTTGCATATACCATGCTTCCCTGCAGAAAAAAAGCACCAACAAAAACCACCAAAGCACTTGGTTTTGAGCAAATATCAGTAGAAAGAATGCTTGCAGCAGCTGATACCAGTGAGGATCACTGTGAAACCCAGGTATGCTAATTATTAAGTATTTTGTTTTGATTTATATTTATATTTATATTTTTAGGATGAAAATTAAGGGTAGTTGTATTTTCTCCTTTAATTTAGTTTTATTTAATTAAAAAAATTTGGGTTTGCAGGGAAAGACCTCGTTTATATCTCAAGGGGGCCTCAATCAGCTCAACAATTTCATCTTTGTTTTGGCAGTTATGCAGATTGTGTATAGTGTTCTCACCATGGCTTTAGGAAGGGCCAAGGTATGCTACGCACCTTTATATATATATATATATATATATATATATTTTCGCTATAATGCCTTTGACATTTGTAAGAATAAGGGAAAAAGTTTGATTGCTCTTACGGTCTTACCCCATAAAATTGATATAAATGTTTTAACTTTGGTGTATGGTACTTTTAGAATTGTCTTTATCTACACATACAAGAACTCAACACATCCATCCCTGTGGAAAAGGCCTTGCAAGAGTTGTCCTTTTTTTTTTTTTTTTTTTTTTTTTTTTGTAAATATAATTTTTGTCCAATAAAGGCATCCTGCTAGACCAACGACGTTGAGAGTAAAAACCGTGTAACATGCACAACAATTGATCGTTCAATAATTGTCTACGAACAACATTTTGGGTGTTTATAGATCGCACCCAATGTTCTTCTAACCACACCCCCCATTAACAATGACCTCACCTTCAAGGAGCAGGTTTGAGAATCTGGTTGTTAAAAATAGTAAATCTTATTTAAATTTTTACTCATTGACTTTTTTAAGATTTTGAGAATGCATCCCAACATGAAACTCAAAAGAATTAGGGAACGAAGTCCTTGTTGTACATGGAAAATTTTGCACTTTTGGGTGTGTGAAGTCAATTGCATGTACCCCATGAGGCAGTTGGGGAAGCTTTGAGAATTGAAAAGCAGAAAAAATGCATTAAGATTCGGATCACACACATTCCCCTCCAATTTTAAATTAATCATACGTCATTTCATAGTTAAAGGAAGAGTATATAGATTTTCAATATTATTCTAATCCTATTTGTGTTACATATATATTATGTTACTACATGTTAATTAATTATAAAAATATTGTGGTAGCAAGTACACAAGCTGGCGGGCACTTCAATTTGTTGTGTTCTAAATCGTTCATCGAAAAATCATTAAAAACATATATTCTAGACTTGCAATCCGAGTAGCAGATCAAAATGTTTAGCTATCAGTAGCATTCGAGTCAGATCTAACCAATAGATCATGTAGCTTTCCTGTTTTCTCTATTCCGGCATTAGAATGTTCTGATCCCCGAATGAATTTCTTAGTTCAACATTGAGCCAGCCCCGCTTTCCTCTCCCGCGGCATGAGCTCATTCACCAATGCCGAACTCCCATCCTGCCACTTAAGCACCTTGTGATTGTTGAGAAGATCATTACGAGCCTTTTCCTAGAATGTTTTTGTAGATTTCGAAATTTTCATGGTGGATCAGGACGGGAATGAATCCGGGAATCCAGGGCATACTAATCCTGAAGCTTCTGCTCTCCTCTGGGAGGCTTTTGTTAGAATTTGAATTTAAATGGGAGATTTGTGTGCAATGACCTCACAACTTCTTCAAGAAGAAGAAGTTACAGTACAGAGAATGAAGAATGATGAAAGAGAGAGACACTGCAAGCAGAGAATGTGACTGCAAATTTTCATTCACACGCACAACATGAGCTTGCTAGCAAGAGTGTGAAGAATCCCACACACTTCGAACGGTGACATAGTTTTGGCAGTATTCAAGTTTACATCAAAGCAATTTCAGTCTTCCATCTTACATCCTATAAGATGAAGATATATGGCACCTCACTTACTTAAGACCTATAAGACTTAAATAAGTAAAATTACATTTAAACCTGAGCTAATTACTCCAGCAATGTAAGCTAGGATTAATACAAACACTTAGCACATCAGTTCACGATTTATGCTTCAACAGCATTTACTTAAATGACAGAGCACTTTTTTTACAACTATTATTAATTTAGTTTTATTTTTTTTTTTTTTTTTTTTTATAACTTGTTGGCTACTTGGGTAACTGGTATTGTGTTCAAATTACTAACAGATGAGGCGTTGGGAAGCATGGGAAAAAGAAACTCAGACAGTGGAATACCAGATGGCAAATGGTAAGATAACAATGACACAAATTCTTAATTTGATTCTTTAGGTGTAGTCTTAATTTGTTTTTGTGTAAACTAATCTAGCTTAATTTGTTTAATTTATGCCATGATCCGATTTCAATAAAATACAGCAGCTAATCCAACCCTTTTTTCTTTTCAATACTCAACTTTTGGGTGTAGATCCGAAGCGGTTTAGGTTTACAAGGCAGACAACATTTGCTCTTAGACATATGAGTTCCTGTACAGGAAGTGGAACATCTGTTGGACTGTGGATTGTGAGTTGATTTCTTTTCACTTTAGGGGTTAATTAGGAAAGGAGAGGAGGCACCTCTTAACTATTTATTAAATTTTGATTAATTTATTCTAGTCTTTCTGCAGAGGTGCTTCTTCCGGCAGTTTTTCCATTCAGTGGAAAAAGTTGATTACCTCACTTTGCGTCATGGTTTTGTTTCGGTGAGTATAATTAAATGCATAAACAAATAACTAAATAAGACACAAAACCATATCATTCAGTTCACTGTTATTTAGTTATCGTTTCTCAGATTTCAGTAGTTTATATCTAAACTATGTTTTTCACAAATTTTGCAGACTCATTTTCCAACAAACAACAATGCATTCGATTTCCAAAAGTATATACAACGATCACTGGAGGATGATTTTAGAGCTGTAGTCGGAATCAGGTTGCCAACTGTTAATTTTTTTAATTTTTAATTTTTCATCAATTTTTTTGCTATTATTATCTACAATTAAAATACTGATAACATACAATCATATCTTTCACACACACACATATATATATATATATACATACATACATATATATATATATACACATACATACATATATATATACATATATATATCACCTATGTAACCGGTATGTTCATATTTCATTTATGTGAGATATTCAATCAACGACTCCTTTTATAACAGCTTCCTAAATATTGTGTGTTTGTGAAATGCATCGCTTGGCAGCCCTTTCATGTGGTTTATGGTCGTCATCTTCATCCTCCTCGACGTGCATGGTAATTAAGCAGCAACCAGTTTAATATACTTATTCAACATAGAAGTTTCAATTCTGGTTGGTATTAATTAATTTTATGAACTTAAACAGGTTGGCAGGTGTATCTCTGGGTATCATTTGTGCCACTGATTGTATGTACTAATTCTTAAACTAGCTCTTTCTAATCGTGGGTTTATTTTACTAATTCTTGTATGAATTAAAGGCTAATTAAGGATTATGTGCTCGTAGATAGTGCTAGTTCTTGGAACCAAACTTGAAGTAGTGGTGGCAAACATGGCTCATCAACTTCATGACCAGCATAATGTGATTCAAGGAGCTCCTCTGGTGCAACCAAAGGACAGTCACTTCTGGTTCAATCAACCGCGGTTCGTCTTGACTCTTGTACATCTCACATTGTTTATGGTAAATATTGATCTTCTTTCTTAATTCCGGATGAGTACGTACTAATGCCTAATTAATCACTTCAGTTATTACTATGATCAAATCAACTGACATGATTCAACTTTTCAGAATGCTTTTGAACTTGCTTTCTTCATATGGGTCACGGTATGTCGTATTAATCCTCACTTGTTCGTTTTATTTAGTTAGAAATGTGAACAATTGGCAAACAACTTCTTATGTTATACCATATATATATATATATATATATATATTATTCTTAACAATGTGACAATATTACATATCAGACTGTTTAGTAAAACTACAATATTCCTGTTTAGTCGACTGAACTAGTACTCAAGATAAAAGTCTCAGAGTTTCAATGAAAATTAAGATAAAACTAACTTACCTCTCCTTTCTTAATTATTTTCAGGTGCAATTTGGGATACACTCCTGCTACCATGAACACATACATATTATAATTGTACGAGCGGTTTTAGCGTGAGTACCAACGCTCATCTTCCTCTACTACATATTCACATTCAATTTTGCACATATGTGTGTGTCATTGTACAAATCAGGATGCTACTTAGTATTGTTCCACTAAAAGCAAAATTGTTCACAAATTTCTGTAGGGTGACGGTTCAAGTGATGTGCAGTTACATTACTCTTCCTCTCTATGCTCTAGTGACCCAGGTAATGCATGCCTTTACGTGCATATGCGCAAATATTTGCTTTCTCTTGTCAGATACATGTTTTGTTTCAAGCTATCAAACTGAATCACAGATTCGAATGCAAATCTAATTCATCAGCAGTTGAAGTTAACAGTTTGATAGCAGAACATATCGTTTGAGATCAGTAGAAAATATAACCCTCGTTAATGTACAACTAAACTCGGGTTATGCATGCAGATGGGATCAAATTTCAAGAGTGCAGCAGTGCTTGAAGAGCAAACGACAAATGTTATAAAGCAGTGGCATGCTGATGTGAAGAGAAAGAGGAAAAATAAATCACACTATTCACAATCTGGTCATGACGAAGATTCATCTACGGTGGGAAGCAGCTGGGAAATCATGAATACCCCAGATTTTTCTTCTCATCGTCCCCAACTTTCTTTCGCTGAAATGAACCACAGTCACCCTAGAGAAACTGAGAATTTTTATGGTAACGAAGAAATTGTTGAGGATCATCAAGAAAGGGATGGACAAAATGAAATTGAACTAGCTAGTAATGCTTCATCTGCTGAGGTACATATAGGAATGCCGGAGGTCACCAGAACACAAACTTAAACATTTTATTGGCAAAAAAGAAAAAAAAAGAAAAAGAAAAGCAAGTATGATAAATAGGTTAGCCCATTAGAGGATTGGAGCTTCTCTAATCAATTTTAGCATATCTGTATAATTGGTAGTTTACATTTCTCTATTTTTTTCCCTCAAGTTTAATAAGCCTTTAAATTGTAACTTCCAATCTTATGATGAGCTCCAGATTTTAATTTTTGAATGCTTTGGTATCCCTATGTATCCATTAATTAACGTAAAATACTTGGCTCTTTACATGAGTAATAAGAATTTATCATTGCAGATAAATTATAGCTTGATATGTGGGTAAAACGTTTTTCTTTTGCATATTTTACTAAGTTACTTTACATGTGTCAGACTGTGATTTGTATGTAAGAAGAAATGACTCCTTATATAAACGATTCAAGAACAATCCTTATCCTTAATTAACAGCTTATAAGGTAAAATTTAAGTTTTGCTGGGAACAACGGAATTGGCTTGCAACTCTAGAAGTTGAGCTCATTTGAATGTGCTTTTAAAATGACTGAAAGTGCTTTTGGTAAAAATGTTTTTGGAACCAATTCTTAATAAAAATACAAATAAATTTTTGAAAAAACACTTTTAAGTGCTTTTTGAACCAAAAAACATTTTCTCTAAAAGTACTTTCAATCATTTTAAAAGTACATTCAAATAAGCTTTGTTTAGCCAATTTCCTAATTTAAAGAATAAAAATGAACATAGATTACAGGAAATGTTTCTCTCCAGTTTGGTGAGAGACTCTCTCTGTGACATTTTTCTCACCATGGTGAGAGTGGTTACCCTTTCGTCAATTTCCTATGCTACCGGCCCTAGCTATGGCCAGGGTCGGTGGTTGTCCCTTCCTTTTCCTCTTTTCTTTTTCCTTCCTATTGCTGTTTTCCCCTGGCTATCCTTCCCAACCAATAGTTGCTGTTTTCCCCTTACTTTATAGTTGCTGTTTTCCTTCCTTACCAATAGTTGTTGATCTTACTCGACTAAGCCCTCAAATCCGTTCTTTTCTTCTTCTAATCCTTGCTATCCATCCATCTTCACGTCCTTCATCCATCCTCCCAATTCCAATCTATCCTTTCACTCACTTCGTTCTCACCTACTTGGCTATGTCTTTCATCAATTCTATCTCAACTCAAGTCTGCAATCATTATTGACTACGATTTGTTGCCGTCCATTAGAAAGGTGTGTACAGTTCTCGTATCCACACCGGCTCGAGTGTTCACACCGCCACAACCGTCTCTCTGCCTTTGTTGGCAGTTTCGCTCGTGGGAATCCCACTACTTCTTTGGCTTCTTTTAATTGGTGGCTGCGATCAGAGAGGTGCTCTTTACTGGATGATAGAGTGAGAGTCTTCCTCTTCTATCTCTAGCGTTGTTTGGTTGGATTTATGGCGTTTGTTGGGTCTGTGGTTCGTGCTGGTAGGTACTGTTGCGACGACGGTGGTTGCAATCTGGTTTTGGGCCTCAACTCTTATTGGGCTCTTTGTGTTTCACTTGGAAGGTCCACTTTTTCATTGTGTTTACTTTGTTTTGAGCCTTTGTGTAAATTTTGCTGTTGGATAAAGATTACCCTAGTCCAAATAAAGCAATGGCGTTGCATAAGAGAATAATTCATTGCCAAGCCGGTCGACCCCAAATTTTAAATGGCCCAACTAATTGTTACATGTGAACACATCTGCTAATGGTTTGACAAAAAAAAATAAAAATAAAACACACATCTACGAATGGTATACTTTCGTTGATGCCAATTCGACAAAAGGAGAAAGTTTTGTTCGGGAGAAGGACTTACATGAACTGGGCTAAGTTGTTCTCCTAGGTTGGTGCCGACACATAGAGCAACCTTCCCACGGAGTTGGACACAATATGTGGCGTCTCATTGAGAGTGCTGCCTTATACATCAACATCATATAAGAATTTCTTCCAAAAGCGTTCCATACAATTAAAAAAATAAAAGACAAAAGAAAAATCATTACTAATATAGTCTAGTGTTATTCCTCGTTACATGTAGGTGAGAAATCTCAAATTCGAGTTTCATAAATGAGAGAGTCGTTCCTTAACTTTTGATGTCGCTTTGTTTGGCTTTGTCCAAATCATCTTCTCTCAGTATCGTTGTATTACAATACAGGAAACAGAAGACAAACCTTATACAAAATTATTGACTTTAAAAATGCATCAGGGCAAGAAACATCAATCAGCTCCAAGATGTCCAATCATAAGATAAAAAACTACGGCAAGAAAGAAACCTTTGCTAGAAGAATCAAACATGTCGTGCTAGATAACAGACAAGGGCAATGGCCCCTTGCCAATTTACGACAATTATTACAAAGGCCCACAGGCCCAAAGGCAGACCGAAAACACCAACCATTTTGGTGTAGAAATTGGAATCAATCAATCAAATCTTGGTGCGACAAAACATATGGTTAAAGTTGGAGACCCACTTGTGAAAGAAAATTATTAAAAACATGTTGGAGATTAGCTTTCAGCCTTGTTTGACTCGGATTGTTGCTATTGGGCCACTGGGACATCACATGAAGTTTATCAAGTATTTACATAACCCTCTTGGGTTTATGAAATTACACATGTAGCCCTAAAGTTTAAAATCACTTTCACATAACTGCTTTCATCAAAACTCCAGTGAAAGTTGCTTGAATTAGTATAAAAAATACCTTTTAGGGTGTGTTTGAGCGAGAGACTTCCAAATTGCAAGGCAATTAGAAAAAGAATGAAGAAATGGATCACAAAAAGTAAGATGGGTAGAATTGGAAAATGCATTCATGAACATTAATTACAAACATATATGATAGGGATTTGTAAATGGCTCCTTCAAAGTAATCATTTGCAAATCTCTTTATCATGCCTTTTGTAATTCTTATATGATACATTTTTAATCCCTTATATTAAACTTTTTGTGATCCAAAAATTTAGAAGTTTGTTACCCAAACATACCCTTAAGTACAAATGTACCCTTGTATTTATAAGTTTGATGTTTTCTATTTTCAAAATTGGTGATGAGTTTTAGTTATGAAATGAATGGGTTTTTTTCAACTAAGGACGAATTGTAGTTGGCTTGTTTAATTTTTTATGAGTTCGACTTGCGTTAGGTTTTGCTTATTTATATATTATACGAACCGAGTTTAAGTGAGTTTAAAATTTTCAAATACTTTTTCTTTATATAAACATTACAGGAGTTAAGGATTTGACTAAGCCAGACAGTAATGACTTCTGAAGACAGGAGTTTAATGGTTTCACATACTGAACGAAGAATCAGTAGCTATCGAAAAAATAATAGAAATTGTTCTACATCAGCCCTTAAAAAGTCTGTCTCAAATGAGCTTAATTTTTGTAGTGAGTACTTTAAGAGTCACAAAAACGTCTTTTTCTCATTAGATTGATGACTGGAACTTAGGGGGAGGTTAGGTTATCATACTTGTAGTTTCTTTAGAAATTAAAGAAGATTGAGGACATGATCTCAATCTCTATCTTAAAAAGTAAAGTCAACTTGAAGATGGTCAATCTAAACTTGGTAAAATTACCTAAACGCAATATGTCTAAAACAAAATCTCAAACATGCCCTTTTATTGTAAACAAACTTTAAATGTATTTTAGTTTAAGTTGTTTCATGAAAAATATGAGATGCTCATGAGTTTTACGAGCTAAACACACCAATATCATTCAAACTTAATTTGTTTCTGATCGAGCTGAACATAGACTTTATTTGTTTCTTTCGCAAACCAAATTTCACAAGCCAAACAAGAGCCAAAATGCCAAATCCAATACAAACTCTGAAGTCATGTCAAACCAATTTACAGCCCTAGTTAAAAAGGCCATATTATTAGTTTTTGCACTGTGCCCCGTAATATAAATGTCCCTGCATGGATGACTCGGTCTCCTCCATATACACACACCCACCCACGCATCTCCAAAATCATGGTCGCCTAAAAGGGCTCAATGGTTCCTACATGTTTGTCGAGTACCACAGCATCTATCCATTGCATTCACACTCCTACATTTAACTATTTGCGTGATGAACAAAAGTTGGTTGCACAAAGTGTATCCTGTTGCACAAATGTCCGAGCGACGAAAACTTCATCACGCAGAATCCGTCGAGCAAAGATTGTGAAGACAAACTTTGCACGACGAATGATAGCATTGGTCGCAAGAATGCGGCGCAACGATTTAACCTTCGTCACACAAACACAAATACCAGGATACAAATGCGGGACAACTAATATTCGTCTCTCGAAACTTTGTGCGAAAACATTGTTACTCGCTAAAATTTTGCGAGACGAAGGTATTTGTTGTGCAAAAAGAAATATTTTTTTTAATTTAATTTTTTGTTCTATTTTTTTTTAATTTTGTAATAAAATTAAATTGCAATTAAAAAAATGTAATGAAGAGAAAAATAATTTATTTAAACGAATATAAAATGTATGTACAAGGAAAATAATTCGGCGTAATCTACAGGGTCGTCATTCGAGGGCGGCTGGAAGGTCTCGAGGTTGGGGACGGGCTCAGAGGTCGAAGGGACAGAGTTGTGGGCATGCTTGGGTTAGAGGGGCTCAGATGTCGACGGGGGACGAAGATTCGAGAGACGAATGTCGAACTGACTAAAGGCCTGTACAATCAGTGACATCTGGCTCTTATACGAGGAGAGCTCAGTCCTAAGGTCGGCCACCTCTGCTGTCAAAGCTGTCACCTCAATCTTTGACTGGGATAATGAAGAGGCTCTAGGTTCCTACCGCCAGGCATTCCCCATCCCCTACAATATGTCACCGGCCTCTGCGCGAGAGTCTAACCCAAGGTCTTTGTAAGGATATGAAACCCCGTATCCTTTGGGGGATCCACAAACTTGAGCGGAGTCTTGGGAGGAAGCTGGGAGGCGGACTCTTGAAAAACCAATTGCCTCTTCTCCATCATCGTCGCCTATGTAATATAACATGAAATATTATTAATAACATTCAAATGATAACCATGATACTTGAATGCGTAAAATAGTAATTACAATTGAAGAATACTTACACGAAGGGACTCGGCCAACTCATCCCCAAGTCGAACATAAACGTCGCTAAAGACATCGATCTCCGAAAATTTTGAACCCCTCTAAATAGAACAAGAGAAGAAAAATGTTAGTACGAAAAAAAAAATTTAATATTATTGCATATTAAAAATTGAATATGAAAAACTTTATTGTTACATGTCGTCGCGCCTCCATCCTATATGAGAAGGGTCTCGAACCGGAATGGTGGAAAAGAGTATTCTTCTCCCAATTGCTCTTGTTGGCTTTCGCCT